GATGCTGATTAGAAAGTAAAACATGCCAAACTGTCGGAAGGTGTCGAGCAAACTCTGACGTACATAAGGTATGTCTCTTGTGTGGATACCAACTAATTAGACATGTTCTACCCGGCGATTATCCAGTCGGGTGGCAATTACAGCTTGAAGTTCAGTGCATTCAGCGACAAGAACTATTTGCACTTGTCACAATGTCGTCCGAACGTTGCCGGAAACGATACAGAAGCACTACACCTTTCTGCTCTATCTGGAAGAGGAACTGCTGAAGGTGATGATTCCGGTCAAGAAGCTCTCGGAGGTCTTCGACGTTGGAATGGATTATTCCAAGAAGGAGGATCCCAGCTTAATCGTTCGGTTTTGCCATCGGATTGGAGTTCCGGGAGGATTCGATCGTAGTACCTCAACCAGTGAAATTCTGTTTAAAAACTGTAAATTAGTTAGGTTCAGTCGAAGCAATAACAATTCCGTGTGATTGTGCCGTGAAAAGTAGTAACTCACTTGAACAATATTGAACTACTTTTCACGGCACAATCACACGAAATTGTTTTTGCTTCCACTGAACCTAATTAACTTACAGTTTTTTTTATGTTACAAAAATCGAAAACCATTTATTCCATCTCGTATATGACACATATTCGAAAATAAAACTACTCTTTTACTTTAGTCTGCTGGTCTGAGTTCCTCTAATAGATCCAATTAGAGTATGTTTCTGAAATACACAGTCAAACAGCACGTAATGTTATGCACAAATTCAACAACAGCTGTCAATCAGTGCTCCCATTTTATTTAATGAACAATCCAATGCCTACGAGATTGTGCCGATGGATGTGCCCAAACTGTGCCGAATCTTCTTTCGGCACACTGTGCTGAGTGACTTACCCCTTGATAAAACCACTTTTGTTAAATAACTGCTTTGAGATCGGATTCGCAACAGAAGAGGAGATAAATATGAGCCTCACATAGATTATGGCTTTTGTTTCAGCTTTACATTCACATAGCATTTTTGTGGCCAGCCTTGCAATCTATTTTTATTGTACAAATCGCCTCAGAAACATGAGTGCAACGGGACAGCCAACACCGCGTTTCAAAAATCTGCTGAAAGATGATGGTACTGTACCCGGCCAAGGAACAAATTGAACAGAAGATTTTCAAATTTGTCTGTGGCATGTATTAAGTTAAATAGTTTATTAAATGACACTACACCTATATATGCGTAAACACATTGCCCAAAAAATCAGTGACCTTAACAAAGCTTCTGCACATCGTCATGAGTGATTATTGTTTTTCTGGCCCTATACGCAAATTGATTCTTTTTTTGTGTTTAATGAATTTTAAAATGGAATTTATACATGAATTCATTTTGATAATAATAAAAATAAAACAGAGCAAATGAGTATTTACATTATCTACATTAAATTTTTTTACAATGAAAAACAAATAAATCCATATCCACTACAATTAACAGAAGATATAACAGTTTTATAACCTCAATAGGTATGGTAATTTCAATCCGTTTTAAGTGTATCTTTTTTTTCTTTTTTAGACTTTATTTAAGAGATTTTTAGCCTTAGGCTAGTTTATCTCTTTTTTAAGTGTCTCGTGAAGTCAATAACAATGGTTGGCTCAAAATCATACTACCTTATTGGAACCTTAATGGAAATTGGTTTCAAATAATCAACTAGAACCTTTTCTGATGCGGTCAGGTTATGCTCACTTTATCAAAAATGTATGGGAAAATGTGAAAATTCGTACGGTAGATGTAGATGAGAGATCGCCCAATACTTTAGTGGGCGTGCCTTTTCTTCCATTCCGCACAAGAACGTCGTGGCCATTTTGTTCACTTTGCTCCGAATCAACTGCCTCATCGTCCAAACTCAATTATAGTGATGCAAATAAAATCCAAGCTCCAAGGGGTGTGCGAATGCAAGTGTTAGGTGATAAAATTAAATATAATTTAATGATTAGAATAAGAATCAAACAAAATATCAGACACGAAAGCAACACGGTAACGCGCAATAGCTCAAAATTGAGTCGAACATGCTCATTTCAGCGGGAAGTATGGCTATTCAGAAGTGAGTAGGTGCAGTTTTACTCACTTTTGAGAGTAAACGACGACGTTGCAGAGTGAGTCAAAACCACTATGTGATATTATCAGCCATGAAGTTTTTTTATTTGATTTGATAAAAAATTGATATTACCTGTTCCAGATTAATTTAACTGGAGCTGAAGACGACTGAAAACCTTCTCCGCATGCAATTCCTACTTACCTTAATACATTTCGGCCGGTGTTATACAATAATGTCGCCGTTTCTTAGAGCATTTGCTCCGACACGGCTGGTATTTTTTTTTTCTAAGTCCCGAATTTGGCTGACACTTAAACACTTAAACTCAGTTTGACATTTCTCGTTTACACAGATTTTGACAACCTTATGCATCAGACGAAATTGAGTACGATCGACGCACTCGGTGAGTAAGCTGAAGCAAGCATGAAGTTCAAGGTGTAACTATAAATAGACCACCTTTATCAGTTCCCGTCATGTACCTCGTGTTTATTGTCATCGATGGAGTTGAGATGATGTCAAATGATAGGAGCAAAATTGTTAACAAGCCGAAGTTCATTTCGTGTAGATTTGATAATTTTGCAAATGAAAGGCGTAAGAAGATGCGGTCAGTTTCATGTCAACGGCCCATGCTATTTCCAATCATCTTTGTTCAGCAACAACGCTGAAACAATGTGACGCAAATCGATATTGCTGATTGCATTGGACTGCTTCAAAAAAGTGCAAAAAGTGTGATGAAAGCGCACGTTTTCGGCAAATCGCTTCGGTGACAGCTGAGCACTTCTTACTTGTATCATACGAAATAAGTGCACCGAATACACCAAGGCGATTAGACTGAAATTCGCACTTTTATCACACTTTTAAATAAGTGAAAGTTCAGTTCGGATGGTTCACACATTTGCACATTCTTTGATTCCAAAGAATGAGGCTCACCCTGATGAAATCGTGCTGAGCTAGTAACATTAATCGAGCTTTGCTGGCTAACCCAGTTGCCGGCATCTCTACGCTTATCAGATGTTTTGCCAACTGCACTCGCCAAAACATCACCTCGAAGTTCGAGCTTCGATTCAATTGCAATAAATACAATTAGCGCCGACACGTTGTTTTGTCAGCCACCCAATAAATCAAAGCGCATCAGATAGAGATTCGGAGCAAACCGTTGTCCGTCGGGTGTGCATCATCAGCAACGAACGTTGCCGCGGATCTGCCGGTAGATGTCTCCACCAGATGGTGGTTTTAATATTATCTCTAAACTCTCCGCTGCGGTTTGAGCTTCACAGTTAAGTAAATTTCAAACAGCAGCTGAATTTTCGAATTCAAGCGAATTCAATTTACGGTAGCTGGTTTCCGCCCAATCGTCCATAATCATCGTTTATTGATAAGCGATTTCGAGTGAAGTCGAAGAAAACCTGCACCGTATTGCGTCTTAATTTTTTCAAACCCGTCATTTGGTGCGTTGTCTCGACATCGAACTGAAACCTGTCAATAACGCGCAACGCGCTCGCTTCAACTTTTTAGTTTTGTATTCATTTTTGTTTTTCGTTATTGTTTTTTTCCAAGCCGCAAACTGCGCGGCTTCTTTCATGTTGAGCTGTTGTCAACAGTGCGGCATTTTTTTTTTGCAACGAAAGTTGCGGTCTTCAGAGTCTACACGATGTTGGTTGAAACAATTATCACTTGTCGGCCGGCTTGCAGGGTTGGGATTTAGCGACCAAACCGAAAAATACCCTGAACCTATGAACCATCCCTGTGGGAGCGGACGGGAAATGGTGATTGTATACATATATTTAATTGCCCACCGCCAGAACAGTCGACGGTTGGTCGTGGGTTCGATGGTGATGCAGTGGAATGTGCACTTTAGGTGTCGATGTTTGACGATAAGGGAAATGGAAGAAGTGTGAAGAGACGACAAGCGAGGGAATAACAACCAACACTGGGTACCATTTCGTCATTTCGAATCAGTATACATTCAATTTTTTCTATATACTCTCCAGCGACGCTTTGTCTGGTACGAACCCAAGTCGTGGCGACAATTTGTCTGGTCGGTATTATGTACTGCGACGTTGCCGCTGTGATCGAGCGCAGTCGGCGACGGGGCGGCTAGCTGATTCGGCATACTCTTTTGCGCGCTCGCCTCGCGCGTCTGTGTGTCTGTCGGCTACTCCTCGGCTCGGCCGTTCTTCGGAGGAATTCTGTGGAAGTCGGCTTGCATGTGTATGCGAGACCGCGAATCATCGACGACGGTTTCTCGGTCGTTGGTGTTGGTGAGTCGCGGACAAATATTTTTAGAGAGTCCGACGTGTTTTCTGAACTACATAATTAAAAATAAATCATCGCCTGGTTGAAGTTAGTGGAACGAAGGGCTTGAGGGAGGAAAGGGTGTTTTTTTTTTGGGGAGCACAGGATATGGGTGAGAGTTCGGGAGAACATATATGAAATTAGTATATAAAATGACAGTTTGGCAACGTTGCTTCTAAACTCGTTTTGAAAACGGATGTTAGACCTGTAGGCGTTATGAAGCGAGAATCGACAGACGTCCCGTGTAGAGAGACGATCGAGCCAAGTGTGCTCGATGGAGTAACGGCAGTGCAAGCGAGATGGAACCAGACAGGCTGTCTTGCTTGCAAGAATGTCTCTCTCGCAACCTGTCCTGCTGCCACCCCTGGCAACCTGCCCGCCCGGCGCACACACCCCATCATGTGACTGACTCGACGACGAGTCATCGCACACTTGCTGGCTCTGCTGCTGTTGCTGCTGAGACTTGGTAATACGTGTCAGTGTATTTGTCAGGTCAGCGCCGACGTTCCGAGTCGTGTACATACACGGTTCTGTATATCGGCGATGGGTGCGTGTGTGCGAGCCTTCCGAGCTGGGGCTGGCCGAGTCCAAAGAGGCAGAGATATTTATGAAAAAATAATACCACACCACTCGACTGTGTATGCTGCTAACGTTTAGTCATATCACCCATCCTCTCTCGCGCGCTTGGTTGTTTCAGAACTAGTGCTGTGTTGTGTTCAAAACTAGACAGCAAGACACAAAAGCAAAAATGAGTTTAAATGGAAAACATTAATGTGCAGCAACCAGTATCACGGTTTCGGGCCAAGTTGTTTCGTTTTTCGGTGACCTACGAAAGGAATTGAGCAGAATATTTTGATGTGTTTCGAAGTGAATTTTCAAGTGTAAACCTGTACACGGCTGACACACAGAGGAACCCTTCAGAGAAGTGCCACAGTGAAGACAGTTTTTTTTATCAGTTTTGCTCGGGTGGAGTGCTGCGGCGGACACACACTGGGAGTTTAGTCCGCATCGCGCAAAGTGAAGTGAAACTCGAAAAGTGACAGACAGAGCGCTGAGTGTGTGAGCGGATTGAATGTGTAGAAATTACGAAAATAATTCAATAATGGCGCACGGACTACATTCGATGATAAAAAGTGAAATTAGCTGCGGGAACGGAGGAAAACCACGGGTAGAACAACAGCAACGTCCCGGAGGCAGTAACAGCCAGAGCAGTTCGGGTGCCGCTGGAAAGATGGGTTCCCGAAGGATCTTCACACCGCAGTTCAAACTGCAGGTGCTGGACTCGTACAGGAACGACAGTGACTGCAAGGGCAATCAGAGAGCCACGGCTCGCAAGTATGGCATCCATCGGAGACAGATTCAGAAATGGTTGCAGGTGGAGAATAATCTCCGCTCTGCGGCGGCCAACAGCACCTCTAGTGGAGCGGGCGCTGCGATGAAAATTAATCTCATAGGCAATCATCAGGCTCAACCCGCCCCACAGCCCCAGTTCCAACTGCATCCGCACCATCTCCACCACCGTCATATTCACCATCAGAATCTGAATTCCATCGAACTAAAAGTGCCTCTGGATTCAACCAGACACCGCGTCGCTCAAAACGCCAGTTCTAACAATCACAACAACAACAACAACAACATCAGCAACGGCAAAGAGAGCAGCAGCGCTTGTATAATATCGCCCGTTTCCACTCACACAGCGTTAGCGCCATTCTCGCATCCACACCACGAAACTTCGTCGTCGTCAGCAAGTCTATCGGTACTTAAACCGCACAGCCGCGGCGATTCGGCGGCGGTCATTATGGCGGTGAGCCAAGTGCAGCGGCCAAGCTTTTCCCCCGTGTCCGGTGATTTTCCAGTCACCCCGACGCCAACTCATCCCTACGACCGGCTCAATCTGCTCGATCCGTACTATCCGCACCATCCCTATCATCACCACTATGGCAAGTACGCGATCGACTGCCCAATCGACCTTTCGCTACCGCAGCACTATCGAAGCAAATTGGATCAAGCTCTCTCACCCTGCTCGACCATTTCATCGGTCTACTCATCGCGGCCACAATCCATCACACCGGCCCCAGTGGAAATTAAGATTGAAGAGCCATCCCACGAGCCCGCCTCGGACGATTGCGAAGCAGTCGACCTCTCCTGTCGGAAGCGAAAGACCAGCTCCCCTAGCGATGACTCTGCCGACGATGCAAGTCCTCCCAAATCCATCAAACTCTTCAAACCCTATCTGTTGGATGAGAAAGATGACGAGAAGGATTCCACGATTGATTCACCCGATCCTTCGGGGAGGCCCGATTATCCCATCATTTGGAACTTTCATGCCCAGCAGCGATATTACGAAGGCCTCTTCGAGTACAATGGTGGAAAATCCCCGTACGGCTTTCCACCGAGTCCTCCCTATCTACACCAGCCGTTGACTCCGATCCCGCGAACCCCTTTCAGTAGCACCCTCTCGCCATCACCTCCGAGTACCGCGTGCAGTAGCACCCACTGGGCCCAACCGCAGGCTTCACCGGTGTCCGGCTACGACAGTTCTACCTCGATCTCGTCCATCTACAGCAACGATGGAGACGATGGCTACAGCTACAACCTGGAACTGAAGCAACAGGCCATCGAAAGCTACTACCACGATGCCAACTGCCGGGGAGACTTCCGTGCCGTCGCATCCAAGTACAACATCAACCGGAAGTACGTGGAAAAGTGGCTCGCCCAGGAGGATCACCATGCACTTCCAGCACCGCCAACAGCCCTGCCACAGGTCGTCGTCGGGTAAGCCATTTGAATCCATGTTCAGATCTAATCAAAACAAGGATTTCGATCCCGGCCCCTCCCGGCTCCATTCTGATAATATTTTATCGCTGAACACGAGTATATACGATTAGTCCTGTGATGTCCTGTTTGTTTTGTTCGGTTTAGTTCGACCCGGTAGCAATGGTCATGTAATGATCACGGTCAGTTTAATTGATTCGTCACAGTTCGGAGTGCACGGGGCACTACCGAGTCCACAGGGACTTTGTTGGAATAACTGAAATGTGATATTTATAACATACATATACATATACATACATATACCGATGCGTATCGAGTAAGTTTTGTCAGGATTAGCTGCTAGCAGATTATCGTAGTGAGAAAACAGCCGTAAACTATTGTACAGAAGGGAAGGTGTGAAAGGAATTTTCGGAAAGGTACATGTTTCAATCTTGCAATCAGCGCGCAGCTCGGAGCAGGTCTCCGAGCGTACGGGTTTTTCGTTTTGGGAATTTTGCTGTTAAAATCACTTGAAAGAATAAATATGCTAATTTTTATGGGACTGCGTACAGGCAGGAATTGGTTTCGTAATTAGCATAACAATTGCTTTTTATTAACAGAGCCAAGGGATCAGCAACCGTAGGTGGTCTAGGCGAGAGAGAGAGAGAGAGAGAGAGTGAGAGAAATGAAAGTTAACATCGCTTGACGCAGGTGTTGCAGCCCTCTGCAGAACTTAGGATCCGCCCCCTGAGAATTAACGAACACATTTCGGCCACCGCAGGATCGCAGGTAGATCCTTGGCGTTATATGATCTCTCCCTATATCCCGTATTCGTTTACCTTCTACCCCCGGTCGTCGTCGATGGACGAATACAAATCACAGGTGCCATATAGTTTCTAGCCTTTTATTTTCGTTTTCATCCCAAACCGAGCCAAGTGCGAAATCGGGGGCTGGAATATAATCTGCTCATATCCCCTGCAACTGCAATAATAACAAAGCAATAAAAGCAACACCTTTCGCTCTCTCTATCTCTCTCTCTTGAGCCGGCAGGTCAAGCGCATAATCCGTCGGGATTTCCCACAGTCTTGAAAGTTTTCATTTCACACAGCATTTGACTACCCCTAGATGCCCATCGACAAGCCACCTCTAAATGGCCGATGAGGCAGAAATGTCAATCCCGGGGTCGCGGTGCGAAATTCGACGCTCGTAAACAAAATGGCTGCCACTGTGATCATCAGCAGGAGTGGCTTGCTGCGATCGATTGCGTCACTTCTCCCCTCCCCCACACCAGACCAATGATTGCTTTGTAGATCTCAAGCCAAGCGCGAAAACCGAAAAATAATAACAAAATCACGTTGCTCCACTACACAAACAGCGCAAAACGATGCAACTAAAATTAGGGGAATGATTGAACAATCGTTAGCAGAAAACGAAAAATAAAGGTGCCACTAATTACCTGACAACTATTGCCAACAACTACCATAGCGTCCGCGTGTCGTGTCGACCGACGGGGTTTGTGTGTGTCATCCGTCGTCGTCTCGTCGTTGCACTGAATTATTGTGTATTTCCCAACGACCGACCGACCGACCGACACTCGACCAGTAGATTTGAGCGAAAATTGCACCAATGATTTCAGCGCTTTATTTTTGAGCCATCGCATCGTTTCGCGCAATCGACGAGAAACACTGTACCTTTCCGACCGGTTCCAATCCCACCCCAAGCATAAAATCAAAAGAATCAACGGAATTATCAAAAATCAGAACAATCCTGTCAAATACTAATTAGGGAGAACATATTTGTGAATATCAAGTGCCTAATTGAATAACATTTAAAGAAATAAGCATCAAGCAAGTTAATTGATAGAGTAAAGAAAAAAAAAAACAAAGTAAATCAAGTGCCAATACAAAACATAAAATACACACAGCTATACCTAATGTAAGCAATTTATCAACACTGATCCCCAGTTACTTCAGAGCGCGTTTTCAGGTGGAACAATAATTTCATATCTTGATGTAAATACAAGAACAACTCATGTGTCATCCTTTGATCAGCATTCATTTTTTTTTTTCGTTTTTAATTAAGTTAAGTGGGAAACGAAAGATTTCTGCTGAGCATCCTAATTTCACGATCATAACTTATCTAGTTGACTAGCGTGTGCATCCATCATGAGGAAAAAGTATACAGATTAGTTCGTAAGCGGTTACTTGTACTAATTATTCTTTGTAGATTTGCTATATAGGTTATGATTATCACTCTCGTTTTCTAAAAAAAAAGATGGAATGAAAAATTAAGCAAAAATCAGTAGTTTTATCCGACCTTGTAAATACATGCGAGCAACAGCAAAGTGCAAGCAGCCATATTTGGATGAATGCGAATGAATCATTAGACAGAGAGAGAGATAGAAGGAGAGATAGTTCCAGTGGGACGTATTTTAAACTATTTAAAATCGGAATGAACGAGGCGAAGCAAGAAAACATATTGTATTTTCTATTCTACTATACAACCGCGAATGAAAGGATGTTCTTTTTATTTGAATCAGAAATAAAAGATGAGAAATATATCTATACTATGATAGTTGTAAAACATTATCATAAACAATTTAAAAATCTGTGTTTGTAGTTCATTGCTTGAATCGAAACGGTTGTCCCTTGATTGGATTCAGATTACCCTGTCTGCCGCTTGTCTTCTCTTTGCCTGTCAACACAGTTGTTCACTTTTTGATTGTTTTTTTTTTCTTTTACCGAAGCTGATCAGTAAGTATCATAAATGGTAAGTATAATAAATAATGACAAGACATTTGAAGCATGGTATCGGTCTGAAGAAGCATATTTTTGCATGAATAAGCTCTTATTCTGCTTTCAATGTTGGGTAATGGTGATAAATGAATACACTTCATACCTGTCTTCTTTCCTTTATTTAACGTCGGTCTCTGTTCCGCAATCTAGTGCCAATCACCGACGGACATCGATTGCCATCCGTTGACGGCAATCGAATGTGCAGGAAGGCAGCTTCCACACCTGCGTAGGATATCGCACCCATTCAACACATATGGGCCGGGACCAATGGCTTTACTTACCTTCCGAAGGAACACGTGACCAGAGATTTTTATGCCTCAGAAAAATCCCACCGACCTCGGCTGGGATTGAACCCAGACCCATCGGGGTGTTAGAAAGCAGTCACGTTCACCACTACACCACCGGCACCGTAGACTATGGTCCATACAATTTTTTTTTAAATTTGTATGGGCCGTGGATAATTGTCAACCCTCCCCCCTCCCCTCTTAACTGTCTACGTAGTTTATGGACAGCCCCTTAGAATTCTATAGACCACCTTCAACCAAGCTGATTAAGCCACAAATATCCCTTAATCATAACTTTTTGTTACTTGGGAATCTTCATTAAAACATTATCTCAGTTTATAACTCCATCTTCATTTCTATTGAACATCTCATTTATTTGAAAGCCCCCTTATTCTGCGCCGCGAGTGAGGTGATGAGACTCGCTATCACTAGTGAGGTGACAATAGTCACCGCGAGTGAGGTGACTCGCCGTACAAATCAAATGGAGAGTCACCCAAGTAACAATTCAAGCTGAACAGCAAGAACAGAAGCTGATTATTGGTTGATTTAAGGTGTACAAAGCTGATTAACAGCAGGCTGAATATATAGTTGATTAGTAGTGCGTGAAGCTAATTGTATCCCTATAATTCAACCTCAATAAGTTAACTGATCTAAAGATTGAACAAGCCTTATTTTAGCTTAACACTACCATAGAGGTAACTCTAAGACCAGAAGGTCCCGAAGAAACGAGCTCAACTTTTTGGCTCAGCTCTGGTACTATCTTCGGTCCCAAGCTAATCGATGCACCCCTTAAAACATAGGAAAATCCACGAACCCCTCATTTTATCTGTCAAACTTTCATAGCGAATCAAAACAAACATAGTGTAGTACTAGAATTTCAACTAGAATGGGGTACGTTAATCGATTTGCTTGGGACCAATAGGCTAGTCAAATTGTTGATTGTTGACACTACTCCACAAATCAGCAATGCACTACAAATATTTTGAAAGCCTGATTTGTTAAATGCAGTTACCGTCACTCGTTGCATTTCCGGCATTTTAGTTCTGCTAAATTCACTGCCTACCTTTCTTATCCCAAGCAGCGGCAGCAGTAGAGACAAAGTAGAGGAGCTTTTTAGGAATAGCTCCTGGTATAAGTGACCTGCGAAAACGTCGGAAGCATTAACATTTGTATTTCTGTATTCTGACTGCTATATTGCACTGAATTTTCAGACAGCATTCCAAAAATATAACTCAATTATGGCACTAAAACCAACTATAGATTTTAAATTGGCTCATTACTTGACAAGCCTATTGGTCCCAAGCAAATCGATTAACGTACCCCATTCTAGTCGAAATTCTAATAGTACACAATGTTTGTTTTGACTTGCCATGAAAGTTTGACAGATAAAATGAGGGGTTCGTGGATTTCCCTATGTTTCGAGGGGTGCATCGATTAGCTTGGGACCGAAGATAGTACCAAAGCTGAGCCAAAAAGTTGAGCACGTTTCTTTGGGACCTACTAGTCTTAGAGTTACTTCTATGCTAAAACAGCATCCACATGACGATCGAAATAAATCACGCACTTGTGTCCACATTGTGTTAACTACACTTGAAAATGAGAGGAATGTTGTTGTTTGCAATTCTGCATTGCTGTATAATACTCTTCCGGTTGCTGTTATTCAACTTTTTTTTTTATCTAGTTCGTTTATTTGTAAGGCTCAATCGCGTTAGCTTTACGGAGCCGATAATTCATTGTTCTTTGTTTGTAACAAAATTCATTTAATTCTATGTCTAGTAGGAGTTGGGCCGGATACTCGCGGCTTACTCGAGGTTAGAGGGGTACATTGTCGAAGGATAGGAAAAGGGGAGGAGCTTGGGAGTAGGGTATCGTTGCCTCATCAGAGCGTTGTCGCCAGTGTGAACGGTAGTGTGGTTCTAGATTCGTCTGGAGTTCGACCGGCTATGGTGACCAGTGGGCGACGATGAGGCTCATCGAGACGGGGGACAAGACAAACAAAAACTAATAAAGAGATACAAAAGACAAACGAATTAAATTCTTATACTAGACATTTGCAGAAACACATAAATCGACTACATATAGCAGAGATCGCGGGTACCCAACACGTCTCTGATAGGGATACAGGGTTGTCTTCCTTGGGCCTCGAGGGTATTCAAAAGTCGCTCTCTGGCGGCGTCATTATCCGTACATTGTCAAACTGCGTGTTCGATGTCATCGTAACCGTTTCCACACCGACAGATGTTGCTGTCCACGAGGTTTATTCTATTGAGATGAGCATCTAGCGAGTAGTGGTTGGACATAAGTCTACTCATCACGCGAATAAAGTCACGACTTAAGCCCAAGCCTTTAAACCACGCTCTCGAAGAAACATTAGGAATAATTGAATGTAACCACCGTCCAAGATTTCCAGTGTCCCAATCGGTTTGCCAACTCGAAAGGGTACTCTGATGCACTAAATGGTAAAATTCATCGTGTGAAATTTGCCTGTCATAAAATTCGCCTTCCTGCGCGCCCACCTTTGCGAGAGAGTCCGCCTTCTCATTGCCTGGGATTGAGCAATGTGAGGGGACCCATACAAAGGTAATCATATATGATCTTTCGACCAGTACACTCATCTGTTCCCTTACCTTTGAAAGGAAATAAGATGAGTGCCTACTTGGTTTCATCGACCGAATAGCCTCAATCGAACTGAGACTATCCGAGAAGATGAAGTAATGGTCTGCGGGCATGTTGGAAATCATCCCCAATGCGAAGTTGATTGCTGCCAGCTCAGCAACAAAAACGGAACAAGGTTCCTGAAGTTTGCGGAAGACGCTAGAGTTTTCATTGAAGACACCGAAGCCAGTGGATCCATTGAGACGGGACCCGTCTGTAAAATATCTTTTCATGCAATTGACTTGTTGGTATAATAGGTCGAAGTTGATCGGGAATACCATGAGTTGCTTGTTTCATGGTCAGATCATATTCAATTGAGGAACTGCGATTGGTGAAGTGAGCACGGTCTGGAGTGTAACAAGGAAGACACATATCTGACGATATGTAGTGGTGGTAGATTCTCATAAATCAAGATTGTGTGTTCAGCCCAAGAATTTCTTCAAAATTTTCAATTATAAGTGTGTTCGTCACTCCGCATTTGATTAGTATTCTGAGAGAGAGCTCCCAAAAACGGTTCTGGAGAGGTGTTACTCCTGCCAGAACCTCGAGACTCATGTTATGCGTTGAGTGCATACAGCCAAGAGCAATACGCAGACAACGATATTGAATTCGTTCCAATTTTATTAGGTGACATTTTCTTGCCGAGAGAAAGCAGAAAGAGCCGTACTCTAGAACAGAGAGAATAGTTGTTTTATAAAGCGTTATGAGGTCTCCCGGATGAGCACCCCACCATGTGCCGCAAATTGAACGGAGAAAGTTGATCCTCTGTTGACATTTTTGCTTCAAATACGTAATATGGGCATTCCAAGTGCACTTTGAATCAAACCAGACCCCAAGGTACTTGAAAAACAATGATTGAGTAATGTTTCTGCCCAAAAGATTAAGCTGCATTTGGGCTGGGTACCGCTTTCGAATAAACACTACCAGTTCAGTTTTCTGCGGCGAGAATTCGATCCCTAGATTCATAGCCCAAGAAGACAAGTTATCTAAGGAATTTTGCAATGGTCCTTGCAAGTCCACGGCATGTGGACCTCTTACGGAAACCACTCCGTCATCTGTCATCTGCAAGTTGTCTTAGCGTGCATTGTTCTGCCAAACAGTTGTCGATGTCTTTGACATAAAAGTTATAAAGAAGAGGGCTGAGACATGAGCCTTGGGGCAGGCCCATGTAGCTAATTCTGGAAGTTGTCAGTTGTCCAAGGGAAAAGTTCATTTGCTTTTCTGACAACAAATTGTACAAGAAATTATTTAAAATCCCAAAAAGTCCACATCTGTGCAGATTGTCTGACAGAATTTCAATGGAAACTGAATCAAAAGCCCCCTTAATGTCCAAGAATACTGAAGCCAATTGCTCCTTGTGTGCAAAGGCCAGTTGAATATCTGTGGAAAGCAGCGCTAGACAATCGTTTGTTCCTTTGCTCTTGCGGAACCCAAACTGTGTATTTGATAGCAAGTTATTTGATTCGACCCAGTGATCGAGTCTCCGAAGGATCATTTTCTCCAACAATTTCCTAATGCACGAAAGCATAGCAATCGGACGGTATGAGTTATGGTCAGACGCTGGTTTGCCAGGTTTTCGAATGGCTATTACTTTGACCTGTCTCCATTCAGGCGGTATAATGTTGTTTTCTAGTAAGGAATTGAATAAGTCTAGCAAGCGTCTTTTAGCGATATCTGGGAGATTTTTCAGAAGATTGAATTTAATCATATCGCTTCCCGGTGAGGAGTTGTTCGATGAAAGAAGAGCCATAGAGAAATCCAGCATTGTGAATGGTCTATCCAGAGAGCTGCCGCTCGGAGACGCTTCGTTATTCAACTTAAATTTGACTTGTTTCAAGTTAATGATCATACCTTTTGCCACACAGATGCT